TGTCTTTCTTAGCTATAGCAAAACTTGATAGAACGGTAGGCGACTTAGTTAATTATATGTTAGTTAGTTAATTAACTGAATCAAGTAGTTGAACTTAGATCGAGTTCCGACGCTTTTATCAAAACAATCCTCGAAATTCCGTATGAAACTCCAGTAGTTCATAGGATTACCATCAAACCTTATGATTTCTCGCTTGGGTAGGTCTACAGCTTTAGATATCATTCCTACCCCGTCCTTTCCCGCATTATCAACTGTACGTTAAACGAATGTAGATTCGTACGACATAACCTTTTCATCCTGGATTTGGTCACAATATTCTCTTCCTCTTTGCCGTAACCGTTCTAACTCAATTTCCTTTTCTATATGAACTAAACGTACTTTAGCTAATTCTAATTCTAACAAAGGATTCATTCGGAAGCTATTTCTTGCAGAATGGTCTTCGCTATGAGTTTCTGAATAGTGTGGAGACAATTCAGGAATCTGATCAGTTTTATGATTCTCCGTAGACATTTGAAAGTACTCAGTATATGAACTTCTGATGGGCCACTGGTCGAAACTATGTAGGATTTAATTTTTCCTACAGATGTAATTCTACAACAATAAACGCAATACTGCCGCTGACAGAATCAAGGGTAAAGCTATAGTTAATAGGAGACAATTTGGTTTTAAACTTGATCTGTTTCTAAACAAAAAAAAGATTAAATTAATACAATAAATAGGGAAATTACAATTATCAAGTAAGATGAGCAGACGTACCGGCCAGTATAGCGTGTCTTTAGAAAATGAATAAAAAACATGAGTCACATCAATATAAAATAAAATAATAACATCTTTCAATCGATATGTCATTCACAACAAAGAAATTTCACAGACCGGTCAGACTAGAAAACGTGGTGAGCGCTTAATCAATCTGACTGTTTAGTTATGACATAACTACAATTAGTTATAAAATATCTAACAATATATATATAAGATGTTTCCAAAATAAACTAGCGTATGCATTGATTTAGGATGAAAATAATGTAGAGTGCAAGCACATACATTTATATTGAAAGTAATTTGACAAATATTGATCATAAAAGGCATGATACTGGTCATATTATGATTATCATAGGAGAAGTTCAACTATCAGTACTACTGACAGAGATAGCGACTGTAGAATATCGATATGTTCACTAGATGATTAGATCAGTACACTAAATATCAGTTCTTGCAAAAGATCGCTGGATGAAGATAATTTATCACAATTGACAATCTGGAGTATTTGTATTCCTTCTACAGACTGGTAACAACCAGATATGTCCTATTTATTTTGTAATAGTCTCGTATGGACCGAAACGTGAGCACAAAAATATTGTGTTCTGGTAATTTTGACATTGCAGCTTTCTTGATACCTTTATTTCAATATCCGCACAATAATACTTCATTAACTCTGCTCTTCAATTCTTTGGGTTTTGCAGTAGTAAAAGAATGTTTTCTTTTTTCTTGATCTCGATCATTTCTTGCCCATTCATCAGAATACGAAAGATTCACAGTCGGGTGCGAATCTTTGCCCTTGACATTGCAGTTAATAAGCTATCAAGTATTGCACCAGAACTGTTGTCACTTGTTATTCATGGTTGTCAGTTGTTTTTTTAGATATTCTAAAATGTAGTCTGCTACGCAATAACCATTAAACAAACATAAGTTTGGTGGAGAGGACTTCGCTAGCATTTATTAGCTTCTTTGCAATTCTTCGAAGAAGTGTTTCAGACGGTCTGACGAAAAAGTGGCTTGTCTTTAATCAAATCCTACTGAGGCCATATGTATTCGATTTCTTTCAATAGCCAGCCTCGAACTCCGAAGGTTGAAAACTTTTTCACGTTATTTACCATTTTGTCGGTCTTCAGTCTTGTGACTCAAAGTCAACGGTGTACGTAAGCAATATTTTTATATCCAAACACCTTTTTCTTTACTGGGATATTTTTACCATAGTTCTTAACTTCGGACCCTTAGTGCCTAACGAACATTTCATTTACTCCTACCACTGTAAATATTTCTTAAGTTGGAACACACACCGTTCGTATAGTACAAACCCTACTCTCGAATGCTTCTTAACTATGTCACGGATCTCATGAAAACGTTTAATTTCTTCTGATTCTTTTAACACCTGTGATTTATTATTATCGCATTTTCACTACTTGTTAATTATTTTATAAACATTTTTGAACGTATTTTGACAATATTACTAGTCACAAGTAACGTCATTATACATACATTTGTTATACTACTGCACTTTAGTAAGTCTGTTCTATGTTATAACATTTCATTATTCGGTATTAGCATTATTATCTTTATATCTGATTTCCTCTCCTTATATTGGTTAATCAATTTTTGTAATAATTACTGTTCATAAACACGTCTTCAGCTGACGATAAAAGTTTTCCACAAGTGGTATCCATGAGGTCCCTTATTGTTTCTATTCCTCTGTTTAGAATCAAAGACGCACAGCTCTGGTTTACTGGAATTGAAAAGTACTTTATGGACAACCACATTCATTCACAACGAAACAAATTCGTCTATGCATGCTCATTTTTTTTCAAGCAAAGTAGCAGATAATGTACGAGAGGTCCTAATTAAACCGGTTGCTGTAAAGCCATATGATGTGGTAAAACAGGCCATAATAAAATCTGTCTTGTTAACCGACAAACAAGCAGTCGAACAGCTTCTCAACAAGAATAATATGAGAAGCTTACTAGGGGACAGGAAGATAGACAGAATCATTTTTTATTAGTTATGGCTCCGTCGACGCCCTCCGAATGTGCAGCCGATCCCCGTGGTTGAGGATAGCCGACATAGATCATATGGCAGGAATAGCCGATAGGATTAATCCAAGAACGAAAACACCGAGTTCAAAGATCCATCACACATCAGTAAACTATGAAATCGAAGAGTTTAAAAATGTGCTTAGTAATTTATGCCAAAAGCTGACGAATCTGACTCAGAATGACAGACCACAAAGACAGCCACAAATTAGACCCTGTGACAAAAGTCGATCACGCCCTAGGGAATACTTAGCTCCCACGACATGCTGGTATCACCAGACATACGGCAACACAGAAGGGAGAGACAGATGCAATAGCAAAGTTCGAAGCGACAGGAGAGGCATTCAGATGAAGCTAGCTGCCACAATGCAGGCAAACCATATATTAAATCCAAATCAGGTTTGGATTTAGGAATAACGGTTCAGGAAGTTGAGATACGCGCCTTGCCCAGTTAATCCAAAGAGAAAACAATTTATCTGGGCAAGTAACGGTTCTGTTATCAATCATAAAACAAGTACAATTTATTACCTAAACAATATTACACCTTATTCCTTCCGCAATAACACAAATTGTCTCCAATTCTGGAAGGGACTCCAAATTTCGATTCAAATTGCACCCTTCCAGACCAGATAAATGTATCCAGCGCCTGAGAATCGAAATTCGATATGAAAGTAAGTATCAACTTAAACAACTTAATACAGTTCAGGAAGAAACGATAACAAAATACAAATATTAACATCCCAAAATGGGATCAAACAGACCAACAAAATGTATGACAGAAAGAGTCAATAAGTACATGTAACAAATGTATACATGGAGGGATTTTCCGAAAAAGGTTCTACACCATAAGCATTTGTTTAGGTTCATGATATAAGGAAAAACTACGAATATGTGTTGCCTCTAAATTGTAAATGGAGAAAATTTCACCGATCTATAGATGGCTGAGATTTTCAATATAAACTTCACCAATCAGTTAAACTAGGCACCACATGTTCAGAGTACTGAGCAAACCCAGTGCCAGCTGACTGCTGAGAGAATATCCGTATTACTCCTGACTAAGTACTAAAGAAACTAAAATCCTCACGCCCTGGAATCTCACCAGGCCTCGACAATATTCATAACATAGACTTGAAACAATAGGAAGAAGCCCTGTTTTCACCAATATGTGACCTGTTCAGGCATTCACTACAAAGAAGCTACTCTCTCTAATCTTCAAAGGAGGAGATACGAAGGAACCAGGCTGTTACAGACCAGTAGCATTACTACCGATACTATCAAAGGAAACGGAATGTCTGCTGAACGAACATATGAGGGAGTACATGGATAAGAATAAAATACTCCATGAAGCTCAACACGGGTTTGAGAAAGGCAGGTCGAGCGCATCCAATCCTCTCACATGACAGTTGGACATCCTGGTTAGACCGGAAAATACCGGTGCACGTTATATTTCTAAACTATGAAAAGGCCTACTCCGTACTCACATACGGATTATCAACTCCCTCGTGGACAAGCTGTACCTGATACATGTCTTGAGACCTGCTAGTTATTATTACTGCCATCTCATCAGATTGCTATCCTTATCCATCTCACCCACTATCTCCGTTTCCTCTCCTTTTCTTACACTACTTTCCTCTACCACAATATTCACTACCAATTAGTAAACTAAATCATCTCGTTATTTACTTAGTTCTGAAATCTTATTAACATTATACTTTTCTCCTTATTATTCTCCACACTACAACTAACTAATCTCCGATCTGGTTATGTGAGAAATACTGGTATCCAGAAACCCTACTACCCTAAAACAAACGTTTTCATTCAAATCACGGGACATTCAAACTCACAACCAGATGCCAATTGTCTAGAATCAGACAGTCGAGTGGCTAGACCCTCATCCATCATGACATTACTAAAAACCAAGAACTGTATCGGAAGAACAAGAATCGAGCGCAAAGAAATCGTGAGGTTTATACTAGCTTGTGAAAAAGTTATTGGATATTGGATGCACCATTGTTTTATCATACCGAATCGATTTACATATCTCGAATGGCAACGCTGATTTTATGAAATCGTACTGAAATGTGCCATTTAAATTTTCAAAATTTATTTTCCTTATTATGTCCTGAAAATGTTTAACTATCATAGGGTAATACTTTTTTCATTAATTTATTGTAACAGCCACAAGAGAGTTTTCAAATGAGCGGGTCACTAAAGAAATATGAAGATGTAGTTGAAGTAACTGAAGAACACTAAAATATACTTATTTATATTTTTAAAGAGACTGTCAACGCCCACTTTCAGTTGTAGTTCAACTGAAAGATTACCTCCACTTCCACCGATTTTGAAGCCCGAAGTTCCATCCTCACTTTACACTGTATGTGAAATTATTTGATGAATTTTACTTTTCGACATCCAGATAGTCACACGAAATGCTGTTCATCCACCCTTAATGAATGCTTCTACCCTGACAAAAGCTTCGCCATTCAAGGAACAAAAACACTGTCGTCCTCCAAGTCACTCCATTGGAAACAATTTTTCTCCAAATGCTGCTAACTTATCAATGCAAAATCTAACTAAATCTGGTGAAATATCTAAGATTCGAGCAAAGCTAACGAAGAAAAAAGATGAATCTAAGAGCAAGTATGAAACGCGACATGCCTCGGGCATAATCAAGACCTAATTTTAAATTTTTGTAAATATTTATAATTTTTTACCAGTCTTCAGTTTCAAATATAATAGGTCAGTTAACCCAGACAACAAGAATGGGGTTTCCTTCTAAGGGCTGCAAGTATTGAGGTTAATATCATTCATCCAGCAGGGTATTCTTCTCACTGTATCTCATAACCACAAAGTTTCTACTCGATTGTGTACGTTTTATGACTTGTCAGCATCTACTCGGTTATTTGAATAATCATCGATCCCCTACCTTAAGACTTACAAAAATCTCTTATTTAGTTTTTGAAAAATCATATGTTAACTCTACAGGTCTGTTCAGACAAAAGCAATCTCGTTTTTGTTCTGCGTGTTTAATCTCTTCGCATAGAATTTAAATTACTTGAGTGTATACTAGTGAAATTTACCTTCTGAGTGGGGTGCTCTTGTGCTCATGACTTATGATACATTAAGTTTACTCACAAGTGACATTTCCTTAACTGGTAATCGTTATAAGTCGGTCAACATATGCATAGAATCCAAAGGGGAATACGCGTTTAGATGCTTAAAAACGTCCCATGTAATATACTTCCTGTGATAACTAAGCACAAATAGAAAGCAGTATAGATTACGATGATGCATAATGGCTCCTTCACTCTAACAGGCATTTTAATACCTTTTAAATTACTATATAGCTTTGCTGTTTAAAAAGCATAATTGAAATACATTATGTAGTTTGAGTCCCTATCTTCCCTATCTCAGTCGTCTTACCTGGCATCAGTTTATTCGTTATAAATTCAAATACCTGGGTATGCGAAATGTTTAACGAATATTTAAAAAAATAAGAATGATATCCTGTAAAATGAATGATTACAGGTTTAATAAAATTTTCATGTGATTTATTTTCAAATAAGTTCTAGTTTATTTCTCTTGTTCAGAGAACTAAAAGTTCTAAACTCCTTTCAAGTATCCCACAACATACTTTTTATCTTAAGCTAAACTAGATGGTTGTAATAAAAATTAGTTGATCTAATAACCTCTCAAAAAACGTAGATTTGTAAGAGGATATTTTCTGAATGCAAAAGTTTGAGATAACTGATATGAGGTCCAAAGACTTGGTGTTTGAGCATGTTGAGTGTTAACAAACAAAACAGATCTGTAACTTTAAAACGTCTCATACTTTTTTTAAGAAGTTAAACTAGAAACACCCTCAAAGTATTTCCATCTTGTCCATACGTATGAACTAAATAATGGATAAAAATACGAACTTAATTCCTTATTAATGACTCGTGACAGAACGACACAAATATTCCTTCATGATTATCAACGGTTTAAAAAAGAGTGCTAAAAGAATTAGTTTTTAAATTTAAAGTAGACTAACAACTAGTGAAAAATTCCCTCATATTATTTTCAGGATTTTCATAAATATGCCACTGGATTCGTTTAAGTACTCATAACTGATTTTAAGCAAATTATGGTACCCATCGTTCTGGGATATTAAAGACAACACATCCACACGAACAGCAAAATAAATAATGTCACGTATTGTTTCAGCGGCTTTCAGATCTTATTCAGTTTACTTTGGAAACTGAGACTGGAAATGATGTAACGCGAACAAAGAAACGCAACAATTTCAGCTTTAGGCATCGCCCAATTACTTTTGTTCAGTATCTTTGATCAGCCATGCAGATCAACCTTTAGATGCTTCACTGCATTGATCTAATTTCTGGTCGTATACTAGTATAAATTAACCATTGCACAGAATCCATTCACATGTTTGTTTGATTGCAAAGGTTAATAAACAGCAAATAAATATGATTTTCATCGCTGTTAAGAGAAAGCAGATAAGAATTTCAATAATAAGTGGAAAATCAAGGGATTCAAACTACTTGATCTAAAACGTTTTACTAATTTTTGCTTCATTTCATTTGGGAATCATAATCTGACCTTTAATCGGTAGTCTATGGTGTACATGACTGTCCGGATGCTTCACGGCTTCCTCTTGCTCTTTGCATTTACTACTCCATGATAACGTATTGACCAGTTCTAGTTGTATAAGTATGTCGGTTTCTACTATATGTTTGATTTCAAACTATTACAGTCCATAGGCAGCTGATAAGAACCTGGTTAAATAAAATAAATTCATATTACTGTCGAAAATATTCCAAAATATCCGGTTATCGACGTTTTTGACTTGATTTTGTTCACTCCCTCTTGACACATGTGCATTCCTTACCGTTTGCCGTGATAAATAAACCTAGGAATAATTTCATTTCAGGACTCGAAATCTTCTCCCTTAGCTTCAAGTGCCCAGAAAGCTGTTTTCTGAGCTACTGACTCGAGATTATCAAGAATACCACTAACGGGGTATATCAAATTCTTCTTATTAATTATATAAAAATTATAATTTCTGAATAAGACATTGGCTCTTTGGACCCAGTAGATCAGTGTTAGACTATAGTAAAGTTTTATTTCCTGAGTACAAAACGTGCTTAGAACTGTTACTGGTTTTAACTTTAGGTACAAAAATAAAAACTAGATTGCGAGTTCATTCAGATGATTGGTCCTAAACAAGACACAATGAGTCTCCTGGATCTCACTACTAGCTGTAATCTATTTTTTCCATGATAAAGTGAATTCGGTTTTACAGTGCTTAGATCTCTTACTTAAACGTTCGTAATATTACATTAATTCATTTTTTTCGTTTAGGGACAATTCTAGAGCTGTGTCTCCAGAAGAGCAGATTAATCAAATGAAAACATTAGAGAAAGAAAGAAATGTCAACCGTCAGAAACCATCAGAGAGAGATCTAGAAGTAACAGAATGATTTTATAAGTATTACTGATAAAAATATTTTCTATTCACATAATCCGTAAGCTGTATTCGTTAAAGATTGACGTCATTTGGATTAACATTGAAAACTAAGGAGCGTTATATAGTTCTTTTTTCCTGAAACGAGAATCTTAATCAGTTTGTATCCATGACCCTTAGTCCCTAGACTTTGAACCATCGGATCACAATTAAATAGCTCTAATGAGAAGCCATGGCTAGTGGGGTTCAATCATATTGTGTTGTAGTCAGCAATGTAACAACTGCATTGGAGAACAACTGCTTAATATCGTGGATTGGTTAAAGCTGATAATCTATTCAGGTTAGTCTGAACTCGATAGTCCGAAGGTTGACAGTTCATCATATGATCCGTGAAACACCCGAGTTTTACCCCTTGTGAAGTAGTGGATACACACTACTAAACAATTCCGTTCGGAAATCAAACAGATATCCGGTGCTTTCTGACTTTCCACGTCTACCTAAGGCCAATCTGTCATCTAAATTACAAATTATCATCATTGCTATTAGAGATATTTCGAATATCATGAGTCTTTAAAATGTTCAGCCTACTACCAACCTCAGTCAAAAATCTATCTCAACCTCATTCTGTATCAAACATTTACTTTGATGAACGAACTTATAAAACCCACAAATTTCTTTAACCAGAAAATTTTGTTGCTATCTTTGACAAAAAAGTATGAGAAACTTATTTGATTGATCATTCCAGAATCAGTCAGTACGTCAGTTACGACGTAGAACTTCGGAAGTAAGTATATCAGCTCAGGTTGCCACACCGCATTAGCACAGAGATGCAAATGTCAGTTCAAATCCAACAGTGGTAGCGATAGTAGAAGTATTAGCAGTAATGGAGAATATTAGGGTACGAAGAAATGACTTGAGAAGAATAATTCAGTGAGATAAATCTTGGAAGAGAAAGATAGAGGTGATGAGGGATTCAGGTTAGAATTTGTGGGAACACAAGAAATGTGAATGCACCTGCGCCACTGCAAAGGATTTTGAGTCATGTCGTTCAAGTTCTCTAACCATCGATGACTTTCGTCTCGCGGACCCCTACCAGGTAGCGTACATCTACCACTTCAATTAACCATTTCACCATAAGCTCTTACACGACCGGTGATCTTCGAGTAGAGAGCCTGTAAAAGCTTAGTGTACTTCTCTGGTACAACTTTTGATGACAGACACTGCCACAGAACCTCACGATCAACTGAGTCGAATGCCGCCTTAAGGTCGAGAAATACAACTATTGTGGAGCATATGAACGTGTGTCTCTGTTCTAGGACCCGACGTAGTGTCAATATGTCTTCTATACAACCACGTCCAAGTTTGAAACCAGCCTGGTTTTCTCTAGTCTGCTCTTCACGAGCTCTAGTTAGGCGTCGAAGTATTATTGAGGCCAATATTTAAGATACTATATTAGTTAGACTGATTCGCCCGTGACTGTCACAAGAGGACTTTTGTCCTTTCGTGTAGACTGAGACAATCGGTGATTGAGACCAGTCAGATGGGATTACTCCCAGTTCCCAGCTTCTACCTAAAGGCTCAGTAAATCTAACTGTTAAAAACTGGACCAGTATCCCTAAAAATCTCAGGGGTCAATCTATCAGGTCCTTCTGCTCTCCCTCGCTTCAGATTTCCTATCGCTTTCTCAAATTCATAAAGACGCTGAGGACTTAGTCGATTTGCCATTCAAATTGGAGATCGTGGGCAACAGAAGTGTGGCTGAAGGCCAGTTGAACTGATCCCTGAAGTGTTCTGCCCATCGACGCATGCGATCTCCTGGATTGAGAATGAATAATAAGACCATCCTTTTATGAGACAGTTTCGCTAACATATGGATTCCTTATACCTGTATTCTTGATAAGTCGGACCAACTGTCTACTGCTGCCTATCACCGTTGCCTTTTCCATCGCTCTCGCTTTCGTCACCCACCACTGTTCACGATCACTGCGTAGGCTTTTTATCAGCTTGCGCTCTTAATCATGTCCAGAGCCAGGTGGGATGAGCTTACGAATACCTATCTGTTCGGTGCATGCTATTGACATCCATGGCTTCTAACTATCCTTATGGTTTACTTTACTAGCAGATATCACTGCTGTTTCCACAGCTTTTTGATATCATTCGAAGCTGCCTCAGGGTGGGCATCACTTACTATATGGCCGCCTAACTGTTTTCCTAATTGTTTCTGAAATATATTCTTAGCTTCATTACAATTAAGTAGAGCCCTGAGAGGTTTCCTCGTGATATTTTTCCTACGTCAGTGAGACGCAAACAAACACGCGCTCTCACTAGGGGATGATCTGAATCTAAACGTGTACCACAAAACGAGCGACAGCCCTCTATTAAACCACTCCATCGGTGGCTGATGATCATGTGATCTAGTTGTGTCCAGCTTTGAGACTACTTTGGGGGCCTCCATGTCAAGAGATGCTTTTCCTTATGCTTAAAGTTAGTGCTTCCTAGAAATAAGCAGTTATCTGAGCATGGTTGCAACAGACGGTCAGTATTATATGTTCTCTGAGCCGAGACATCATAGGATCCACCCAGGTGTCTACTTTTCACTTACTCTACCTATTTGAGTATGAAAGTCACCAGCCATTATTAATATATCAGAGTGTTTAACCTTTTGAAGGAGGTCCGAAAGCTTCCTGTACAACTCATCTTTCACCTCGTCTGAACTTCAGTCAGTGGTAGCGTAGGTAGACACGACGAAGAGGCAACGACGGGTGTCCCTGTCTTTGCGAGCCCTTACTGTCCCGTTCAGTTGGAAAGCGCACAATTAACTATCTACTGGGATCCAGTCTATGAGAGCTAGTTCTGCCCTACAACTGAATGCTATACCTAACCAGAGAGACCCAGGGAAACAGCATCAGGGCTACCAGATACACGAAGATTAAATCGGGCTGCTTCTCTGTTTTGACAAGGCGAAATCAGATTGATGACTTTACTAGAATCCTGTATGCGCGTTTCCGAGACGCAGCATACATCGATGGCGCGAGATTCTAAAGTCCTAGCTAATGAAGCCTATTGCCCTACTGGACACAATGTCCGTACATTAAATGCTCCAACACGTAATTTAGAATGGTGTTTCAGGAGACCAAAACTAACGTTTCGTGAACTCGCATCGTTTGCATTAGCGGTGCTGCGTGATAAAGGGATGTAAGAAGAGTTGGCCGTAGAGATGAGAGATATGTTTGGGGGTGTAGTAAGGATTTGATTGTGACCAATTCGGTCTCGTGTCCTTTAATAGGTATGAGGGCGGATGTCACTTCCCGGCTGCCCACACCTTGGAAGTGCGTTTCTTGAGGAACCTAAAAAGGAAGGTAGATTAGTATTGGTCTTAACGACCTGGAAGCGTGACCGCGGAGTACAAGGGACAACTGCTTGAGGCCGGTCACAGACGGCCTTTTTATGAGAGGATTTTAGAGTTTTAGCTCCGCTCTTGTTTAAAAATCCTTACCACCGGAGACGGAAATCCATGAGGTAGGGTGAGGTGTGACATTTTTAGGGTCAACCTTTTCTAACCCCTTCCATCCTTGTAAGAAGGCAGCATCGTTGCTACTGCTTGTTGTCCGAGGGAAACACTCCATAGTATAGCGCTGTTTGTAATATATAAATCCAGTTAATCATAGTGTTATTAGTGACTGAGAGTAATCAATGATTTAGTGACTAAAAATATTTAACAATTTGACAGGACCAGCAGAACCTAGCTCTTCTTATTTAGCTCTGAACAGCCAGGTAATTATTATTAATCTTTGTTTACTAATTAAACTAAAGAACATCTAATAATTCAAAGCATAGATGACAATCACTTTCAAATTGTATACATTGTACGCATTCATTAACTCTATTTTTTTTTACTTAATTATTTATTATTTTAAATATGCAAAATTGATTTGTTATTCTTTCTTATAATCACTGATTTAATTATTGTTGATTGAACCTTTTATTTTATATGTTTAT